ATTACTAGTTTATAGTGTTCAGTTTATGAGCTGTCTCTTATACACATCTAGATGTGTATAAGAGACAGTTCTAGTTTTTTACAAAAGGGCATTTTGAATCCACACCCACCTCCGCCCCACCCTGGTTGGGTGAAATTTTAAATATATAACGCCTCAGATATCCAGAAATGGCAATAAAAATGCCAAATTTCAAATATTCCTAAACTTTCATGCAAGTGTTACTTTTTAGTAATAATTTAAAAAGGCATTTCTGGAAAAGGGGGGTTCTATCGAACCCCTCAAATCCCTGGATACAGGCTTGAGTTTAATTCACAAGAGAGCAATGGTATAAATTTACTATTTCTTTGTATCACCAACACAGATGAATATTTTTACAAGAATTATTGTTTTTGTTGTATTTGTTTAATGTTTTCAAAGTAACATTTAGATGGAGTTCTGTTTATTGGTGATCCACATCTAGTGCGGATCACCTCTTGTTATTGTCAGGATCATCTTCTTCATCTTTTTTTTATTCTTTCTTTCTCCCCTTTTCTGTTTGCACGATATCTCAAAATTGCCGCGAGCTACGCACAAGCGCACTTTAACCAACATTTGGCTTCTCCTGGAATAGTCACGGTAAGGTTTTCAAGGTGACCAGTCATCTACGCGCAATTTTGCGTTTTTATATTATCGATCATATCAGCCTAAACAACTGCCATTTCGAAATCGCATTAAGTGGGCACTAACTTCAGATCAATGTTGAATGTAATGTACCTGTACGCTAATTTTACGCGTGCGCTTCACAATGCGCGTATGCGTGCGCCAAAATTTCAAAAAGTTTCGAAATCACTTTTTGACTAAATTAGAGCATGTATTAGGCCATTTTGAGCATTTCAAATTTTTAAAAAATTTTCCACTACGCGCGCAGCAGCACGTACGGAAGCTAGAAATTACGTTTTTTTTACATATTTTGGGTTCCTGACATTGTTTTCACAAATTTCTGATCTTTTCAGTCATCTTATGGCCAATAACAATGCCGTACGCACGCATCAAACATGGTGAACTTTGAATGCATTTGTGCCGATATACAGTGAAATTATGCTAAAATCAGGCCTATTTTTAAACAGTTATAGCTCCTTAGGATGATCGGTGACCCCCAATTTTTATTGCATATTCTGAAAGCAAATGAGTTGTATGATTTTATAGATTATAATAGCTGATCGGACATTGTGACGATGATGATCTTATGGCCAATAACAATGCTGTATGCACGCATCAAACATGGTGAACTTTGCGTGCGTTTCTGCCGATATACCGTGAAATTATGCAAAAATCAGGCCTATTTTTAAACAGTTATAGCTCCTTAGGATGGTTGGTGACTGTAATGTTGTTCTTATTGTTATGTCATGTGATAACGCACAGTACTGGAATGATGTACAAATCTATCTGGCTTGTTGAACAACGTAATATTTAATGCAAAATGGTTAACCACAAATCTTTGTCTAGGCATTACAAGGCGAGCGTAGCAACGCTCGTATGAAGCGCCATAGGCGTATCATCACATCCTCCTCTTTAGTACTTAACTCATAACATAACAAAACATATTTATTATTGACACTAAATTGGTAACAGTCAGTGTACGTTTTATTTATTTATTTTTTAAAATCATTGATTACTAGTTGATGAGTACTTGTTTTTTATAGTTTATAGTGTTCAGTTTATGAGTCTATTGATTTTAAATAAGTGGTTATCTTTTAGATTTATTAGTGCAAGTATTTTTTATATGGATTCTATCAGTCTCTTTGGTTTCTTTATAACTCGGCAAGACCGCTGAGTAGATGGTGTTGTTGTGTCGTCAGGTGCATGATCCATAAATCTTACTCGCTTTGAGTGCTGCTTGTGGAGGTGTTTTCTGTTCCGTCTTAGTATACCTCCTGTTTGAGTTTCCACCCAATATGATCTTGGTTCCTTGCAGATTTTTCGCACAGTTGCTTGCGTCCATTCCTTGCTTTGGGGGTCTTGTACTGTCACTTGTTCTCCTTCTCTCAATGGAACAAGGTTTTTAACTCCTCTTTTATCATGATAGGTCTTTTGCATGGTTTGTAATTGGATTAATCTGTTGTCGTCTTGATACCTTATTGGTAAATTGCTCCTCACTTTCCGGTTATACAGTAATTTTGTGGGTGGTGGAAGGTAACTGTCTATCGGTGTTGTCCTCAAGCACAATAGCGCTAGGAATGGGTCTGAACCACTGTCACTTCACTTTATTGATAAAAAACACTCAGAGGTATTACAAATGGTGGCCCAATAGGCCAAATTGCTTTTTACAAAAGTTATGGACAAGAAAGCGGCAAAAACATTAAAATATTAAAAAAAGAAGATACAAGAAATACATATAAAAAAATAAATAAAAATAAAAAATAAATATATATATATAGGAAAAAAAATTATTATTTTATTATTATAATAATTATTATTATTATTATTATTATTATTTGGACCGAAAATTTGTAGCACCAATCGGGAAGGAGGATGGCACACTCAAATCATCAAGGGTAACATTGCTGTTTATGAATTATTGAGTAATCGGATATAGTACGGGATTGGACTATTGAAAAATCTATTTGTTTTAATGGAAAATTCCGTGATTTTGTTACCATTGTGGAGATTTTTATTGTGGCTGCGGTAACGAGTGTGTGGTACCAGATCAGAAGAATGTGAGGTTAAAGTGAGACCCTTGGCGAATTTGAGACAGTGTGCCACCCTCCTTTCCGAGAGCAGTTCAAGTTCACATATGCCCAAGGCATGTTCATAAGAATTGAAATGTTTGCCTAAGATTATATGGCATGCCCTTTTCTGTATCGCTTCAATAGTGTTACTTAAATCTTGAGTAAGGCCAGGGTGCCACACAACATCAGCATATTCTAATATTGGTCTGATATACCCTGTATAAACTGCTCTAAGTTCTTG